CTAACTGTAGCTACAACTAAATAATGATTTGATATATCGTTGCCCATCTATAAACATGTACATCTTGGAGGGTACCCATCAACCTTTTATCCACCAATACATAATCTAACAAACTACTTTCATTACGTGCTACATCATACCTTGTATATTTATTTATCCTCTTTTTCATAAAATATGTATTACTTATACCAAATTTCTTTCTACACATAGCTCAAAATTAAAAGGCTCCCCATTTACATTTACCCTGGCACCCCCAATTTACCTACTACTCCCTCCATAACATTTTTACCCACTTTAGCATTGAAATCCCAAACCACCATTACTCTCACACTTGATTCAAAACTCCCCATGCATTCACTCAACATTTCCCAGAATCTCTCTCTCTCCTCTACACTTCTCTCTTCTCCAGGTGCATACACGCTTACTATAACCCACTTTTCACATCCAATCTTTTTTACTCCACATAATCCTTGAATTTATAAAATTTGTAGTCCCTCTTTTCCTGCCATAGCTTATCCTTCAACATTATTGCTACTCCTTCTTTAGCTCTAACTCTATTTGAAACCCCTGACCTAATCCCATTTATTCCTCCCATTGAAACTCTCCTACCCCTTTAGCTTTGTTTCACTTAAGCCAATTATTATTTAAATCAAAAAGAAGCGCTAAGCCACAAGGACTATACAGACTTAAAGCCAAGACATCCAGTTTCTTCTCATTCATAACATCCACAATCATCTCTTTCTTATCATTTGCACAACACCCCAGCACATTCAGACTTCCCACTTTGACAATTTTTCTTCTTCTTATTCTTTTTATTATTATTATTATTATTATTTTTTATTATATTATTATTTATTTTTATTATTATTTATTATTAGCAGTAGCAAAAAATGTTTGATTCTTTGCTGTGTTCAAGAGTAAACACATGATGTCACCGTCCAATACCTGTCCGAATAGCCATTCCAATATGCAGTCATGAATAGGGTTTACATTATTTATACTGTAGTTTAATAGCAAATAATGAACAAACAAAACACTCACCACACTGAGTGGTGGGAGGGCTGGCTGCCAGTTGCGAGGGTCGGAGGGAGGGTAGTAGGGACTTGCAGTGGTTGGGGAAGTGGTGGAGGCATTGGTGGAGGCAGTGGGAGTCTGTGGTATTTAATAACATACATGTTATTAAAGCATAACATGTATATATTTAGTACAATTTACGACGTTTTCATGTATTTTATGATTGTTCATGGTTCAACAAGTTAAGGAAGCAGTATTGTATTACATTTCCCTACAATAAATTGGGGCACCAAACATTCACGGTTTTTCAACATTCGCGAGGCTCTTGATCCCCTAACCCTCGCGAATGTTGAGGGAGACCTGTATGTGGTTATAAAGTTATTCAGTAATGAATGACTACAATGTATTAGCTTTGTAAGACTGATCTAGAAAAGTAGTCCCATTTATCACCTCTCCTACAAAGGTAGGTTAAAGACTCTGAATACACACACTCTGGAAAGGAACAGAAATAAGGAGAGAGAGCTGATTGTGCAAACGGAAAACAGAAATAAATAGGCAGAATATAAATAAAGCACTAAAAATATTTAGCCAAGACAGGATCCACAGTAATGGATTCAAGCAAAATAAATTCAGAAAAACAATATAAGAAAGTAATGGTTAGGCAATATAGTTATAACATGTACATAAAATTGCAAAAAAGCAACAGTGAAGAGGACACTCTGGGTACTTTTAAAAAATAGATGGGTCAGGTGTGCAAGTGGGAATGATATTATATGAGTAGGAACCACCTAGCAAGGGAGAATAAGTCTGCTGGAGTGTTCCTCCATTAAGTTATACTAAATTTAGAACTAATAGAAACACTGTGTATACAACACACCTTAAAAAATATTTACACAAATCTCAAAAAATATTTAAAACTCTAATTGCTCTTTCACTATAATGTTTCATATCTGTTAACAGTTTACAAGATCATTGCCCCCGATGCTCATTCTTAGGCCAGACCTCCTAAATTCAGAGAAAATATTATATTAATATTTATAATAAAATTAAAAATGTAGTTAGAGTGTTCAGCAGAAGTTTGTGGTTACAGGAAAGTGGGTGCGGGAGAGAAGAGGAGTGACTGGTGGAATGATGTAAAGAGAGCAGTAAGGGAGAAAAAGTTAGCATATGAGAAGTTTTTACAAAGTAGAAGTGATGCAAGGAGGGAAGAGTATATGGAGAAAAAGAGAGAGGTTAAGAGAGTGGTGAAGCAATGTAAAAAGAGAGCAAATGAGAGAGTGGGTGAGTTGTTATCAACAAATTTTGTTGAAAATAAGAAAAAGTTTTGGAGTGAGATTAACAAGTAAAGGAAGCCTAGAGAACAAATGGATTTGTCAGTTAAAAATAGGAGAGGAGAGTTATTAAATGGAGAGTTAGAGGTATTGTGAAGATGGAGGGAATATTTTGAGGAACTGTTGAATGTTGATGAAGATAGGGAAGCTGTGATTTCGTGTATAAGGTAAGGAGGAATAACATCTTGCAGGAGTGAGGAAGAGCCAGTTGTGAGTGTGGGGGAAGTTCGTGAGGCAGTAGGTAAAATGAAAGGGGGTAAGGCAGCTGGGATTGATGGGATAAAAATAGAAATGTTAAAAGCAGGTGGGGAGTGGTTGGTGCTATTATTTAATAAATGTATGGAAGAGGGTAAGGTACCTAGGGATTGGCAGAGAGCATGCATAGTTCCTTTGTATAAAGGCAAAGGGGACAAAAGAGAGTGCAAAAATTATAGGGGGATAAGTCTGTTGAGTATACCTGGTAAAGTGTATGGTAGAGTTATTATTGAAAGAATTAAGAGAAAGACGGAGAATAGGATAGCAGATGAACAAGGAGACTTTAGGGAAGGTAGGGGGTGTGTGGACCAGGTGTTTACAGTGAAATATACAAGTGATTAGTATTTAGATAAGCCTAAAGAGGTTTTTGTGGCATTTATGGATTTGGAAAAGGCGTATGACAGGGTGGATAGGGGGGCAATGTGGCAGATGTTGCAGATGTATGGTATAGGAGGTAGGTTACTGAAAGCAGTGAAGAGTTTTTACGAGGATAGTGAGGCCCAAGTTAAGAGTATGTAGGAAAGAGGGAGATTTTTTCCCCATTTAAAAGTAGGCCTTAGACAAGGATGTGTGATGTAACCGTGGATGTTTAATATATTTATAGATGGGGTTGTAAGAGAAGTAAATGAGAGAGTCTTGGCAAGAGGCGTGGAGTTAAAAGATAAAGAATCACACATAAAGTGGGAGTTGTCACAGTTGCTCTTTGCTGATGACACTGTGCTCTTGGGTGATTCTGAAGAGAAGTTGCAGAGGTTGGTGGATGAATTTGGTAGGGTATGTAAAAGAAGAAAATTGAAAGTGAATACAGGAAAGAGTAAGGTTATGAGGATAACAAAAAGATTAGGTGATGAAAGATTGGATACCAGATTGGAGGAGAGAGTATGGAGGAGGTGAATGTATTCAGATATTTGGGAGTGGACGTGTCAGCGGGGTGGGTCTATGAAAGATGAGGTGAATCATAGAATTGATGAGGGAAAAGGGTGAGTGGTGCACTTAGGAGTCTGTGGAGACAAAGAACTTTGTCCTTGGAAGCAAAGAGGGGAATGTATGAGAGTATAGTTTTACCAACGCTCCTGTATGGGTGTGAAGCATGGGTGATGAATGTTGCAGCGAGGAGAAGGCTGGAGGCAGTGGAGATGTCATGTCTAAGAGCAATGTGTGGTGTGAATATAATGCAGAGAATTCGTAGTTTGGAAGTTAGGAGGAGGTGCAGGATTGCCAAAACTGTTGTCCAGAGCGCTGAGGAAGGATTGTTGAGGTGGTTCGGACATGTAGAGAGAATGGAGTGAAACAGAATGACTTCAAGAGTGTATCAGTCTGTAGTGGAAGGAAGACGGGGTAGGGGTCGGCCTAGGAAAGGTTGGAGGGAGGGGGTAAAGGAGGTTTTGTGTGCGAGGGGCTTGGACTTCCAGTGGGCATGCGTGAGCGTGTTTGATATGGAGACAAATGGTATTTAATACTTGACGTGCTGTTGGAGTGTGAGCAAAGTAACATTTATGAAGGGGTTCAGGGAAACCGGCAGGCCGGACTTGAGTCCTGGAGATGGGAAGTACAGTGCCTGCACTCTGAAGGAGGGGTGTTAATGTTGCAGTTTAAAAACTGTAGTGTAAAGCACCCTTCTGGCAAGACAGTGATGGAGTGAATGATGGTGAAAGTTTTTCTTTTTCGGGCCACCCTGCCTTGGTGGGAATCGGCCAGTGTGATAATAATAATAATAATAAGAAATACAGTTTGTTAAATTTACCTGCCATCTTATGTGCTCTTAGACATTAAGAACAAATATCCTGCCAATGTAAAACATTTAACATTTCCATTTTACACTCATATGACAGGCAGGTAGTACCTTGTTGCTGATGGTTGTGCTTCACACTCATATAACAGGAAGGTTATACCTCCTTAATACTTGGTGTGTGTTTCATATTCACATGATAGGGTGGTTGTATCTCCCTGGATGGTTGCTGCCTACCAACGTAATACTTGGTGTGCGTTTCACACTCACATGACAGGATGGTTGTACCTCCCTGGATGGTTGCTGGCTACCAACCTACTGCCTGGTATGTGTGTTTGACACATGACAGGATGATTGTAACTCTCTGGATGGTTGCTGGCTACCATCCTACTATTTGGTATGTGTCTGACACATGACAGGAAGGTTGTACCCCCCTGGATGATTGCTGGCTACCATGCTACTACCTGGTATGTGTTTGACACATGACAGGAAGGTTGTACCTCCCTGAATGGTTGCTGGCTACCAACCTACTACCTGGCATGTGTGACACATGACAGGAAGGTTGTACCTCCCTGGATGGTTGCTGGCTACCAACCTACTGCCTGGTATGTTTGTTTGACACATGACAGGATGGTTGTAACTCTCTGGATGGTTGCTGGCTACCAACCTACTACCTGGTATGTTTGTCTGACACATAACAGGATGGTTGTACCTCCCTGGATGGTTGCTGGCTACCAACCTACTACCGGGTATGTGTGTTTGACACATGACAGGAAGGTTGTACCTCCCTGGATGGTTGCTGGCTACCAACCTACTGCCTGGTATGTGTGTTTGACACATGACAGGAAGGTTGTACCTCCCTGAATGGTTGCTGGCTACCAACCTACTACCTGGTATGTGTTTGACACATGACAGGAAGGTTGTACCTCCCTGGATGGCTGCTGGCTACCAGCCAGCTATGTCTCCTACTAATGTGTACAGTCTTCATACCTAACATAGTGTATATTTTAACGTCAACAAATTTACTTACGTTTCTCCTGTCCTCCAACAAGGGCATTTCCAGGGCCTTCAGTCTCTCTTCGCTACTTATATTTCTTAACTCTGGAATACATTTTGTGGCCCGTCTTTGGTCTTTTTCAATTTTGTTTATTTGTTTCTGTAAGGATTGCATATTCCAATTTAGGTCAAACAAATATTTAAGCAATACTTCATCCATATACTTAAAACAGCTATTCTGAAGTTTGCAAGCACAGCAGATGCTCTAATACTGCACTCGTCTGCTTCTTGCTGATACACTTGTTCATAATCACTCCAAAACTTTCTTTCTCTCTCTCTCTCTCTCTCTCTCTCTCTCTCTTCAACACTTTCTAAAATTTCAATTCACCAACCATAATTTTCATGGGTCTTGTTTTATTTTTAACAATTTCCATCATATGGCTTTATTTACTTTAAATTTCTCCACCAACTTCTCTCTCCAATTTCTCACTTTATTGATATCCTCTTGCATATTTTACAAGTTTTGATTCTTCAATGTGAACAAGATTTTTTCCAAAATTGGCAAACATGATCAAAATGTTATTCTTTCTGGCAATGTGGCAAGATTTAAGACAACTGGGACAAATACTGATCCTTGTGGGACCCCATTAGTGGCATTTCCCCAATGAGTATATATTTCATTACTGCTGTATGTTCTGGCAAGATGTATATACAGAGGTGTGTGTATATTGACAGTGTTTTATAAACACTATTATAGGGATGAGAGTATTGTTTTCTTCATTGCCAATGTACAAGACAAATGTAGCCTTCATGACCCTCGTTCAGTCAACAGGATTCAAACTTAATGAACCATCCAACCACTATTTGCATTTATCTTTTAAACAATAAGATCTCTCAAACATTTTCATCTCTTACTGTAGTTTGCCTTATAATTCAATAAAGTACTATACAGTAGTTTCCAACTAAGTTTTTCATGCACAGCTATTAAATGAGCGTTCAAAGTCGGAGCAAGCGTAATGTTCCCATTCATTCCTTTGTTGTAGAATTTCCATGCATAAGAAAAACTTAAATGAAGAGAGATTTGGGCCTGGGAATTCTAGTAAGACTATTTTCAAGCAAATGTTAAAGTCTGTTTTCAAGTGACGTGAGATGGGCTAAGTCACAGCCAGATAATCTATAATTCAGTATTGTAATTTTGTTTTTCTCAGTTGCTTTTTGGACCAAAGTCATTCATGTTTTGCACATGAGCACATGGTATGTGGTAAACTAATTTTTGGGGAGTAATTATTCAACAAGAAAAAATAGGAACTAGATAGGGAATATTATCATCCTGGTCCACATATGAAGTTTAAACAGGGGCTCTTACGGTAAATTTAGAATCAACGTAACTTTCACTTAATGAACTGTTCTTTTGATCCCTATCTGGGAGGTTGACTGTACCTACTTACTGCTAAGTGAACATGGGTAAGAAGTATAAGGAAACATGCCCAATGTCTGCCATGAACCACTTCAACAAAAAATACAGATGCAAAACCTACATTAAGAGCATTATTATCACTATTGTCATCTTTATCATTATGATTATTACTATTATAGTGAATAAAGGGGCAATATATGGAAGTGATGGAGGCTTGATCCTCCATCACTGTCATGAGACTGACACTGGACCCGTATTTGCCTTATTTTTGTATATTAAGACATACCTATAAGACAATAGAAAGTTTTCAATACCTTCTCAACAAATAAAAGTGAAATGATATAATCACTTGTGTGTTATAGATGGATAAGAAGACTGTGTCAAGCCATGTTTAAACCAGTTGGCTACAAGAGAGGGAAGAGTACACAGCATATTCCTCAACTGCAAGAACACCTGTGACATTGTACCACACAAGAGACTGGGACAAAGACTAAGGAAGCAGATAGGGGTAACAGAGAGAACACTCCATTTGAATACAAGCTGCCAACACCAAGAGCCAGGCTGAGCAGGCAGTCAAGCAGAAGACCTGGTCACAGACTGGATGGGAGAGGCACTGATTCTCAATACCACCAACTAGTAGTTCAAACATTTCAAGATGTTACAGTATTTTTTTGAGGAACTTGAAAAATAAGTGTAAAAGTCAGTGGCCTTTAAGCTGACATTAAGAAGAGAAATACTGTATCCTCCAACTGCCATCATCAACTTCAGAATTCCTAAACAGAATATTTTTTTTACCCAAATCCTCACAATCTAAAGTTGTGTAATGCCATTAGTGTTATAAACCCTAGATTAGCTTTACTCTTACATTCAGTGGGAAGTGTTCAACCCATAAGCATCATACCATGCCTGGGAAAGGAGAAGTAATGGGGTTTGATACAAAGAGGTGGAAGATATCAGCAATTTCTTGAATCAAAAGGCCGTCACCACAAGGCACCAGTCTTCAAGAAGCTGTGTTAACTCTTTCACTGTCTCCCATGTACATATACATTTTTGAGGCAAGAAGTGCTTACATATATGCTTTAATCATAGCGCCCTCAAATATGCCGTGAGTGGTAAAAGTTTAGCCTAGACACAAGGGAATGGGTCTGTGTAGTGGGTGAATATAAAAAAAAAAATGCCCCACACAGTGCATGATGGGAAGAGCTAAGCTCTGACCTTGTATCTAGTTTCAGTGTGACTTTGAGACATTATCAAGAGTGGTTATCATGGTTTTATATACTGTTTCTTGGTGTCAGGTGATATACCAAAAGACATACCTGTAAAGTGGAGATATTCTGGTCAGTTTCAGAGCAAAACATCAAATATTCCACCTTAAAATGATGAAAATATTTGATGTTTGGTGAATATTCTGAGGAAGGGTAGACCCCCTACCCCTTCATCCTCTAGTCTGTTTTATGGGTAATTACTATAACCAATCATTCTTGGTTAAATTTTATTAAGCTGAAAAATAGTATACAACTTAATTTAATGAACACAGGAAAGAACATAAGAAGATCTGCAGCAGACCTATTGGCCCATGCTAAGCAGGTCCAACTCACACCCACCCACACACACTCATGTACTTGTCTAATCTGCTTTTAAAGCAACACAAGATTTTAGTTTCAATGATGCTACCTGGGAGTTTGTTCCACTCATCCACAACTCTATTACTCAACCAATGCTTTCCTATATCCTTTCTAAATCTAAATTTTTCCAATTTTAACCCATTACTTTGAGTCCTGTCTTGGTTAGATATATTTAGCATATTATTTATATCCCTTTTATTTATTCTTGTTTTCCATTTATACACCGCAATCATATCCCCCTAATTACATGCCTTTCCAGAGAGTACAGACTCAGTGCCCTCAGTCTACCCTCATAGGAAAGATTCTGATACATGGGATTAACTTTGATATCCTTCTCTGTATGTTTTCCAGAACTTTTCTATCCATTCTGCAATACAATGACCAAAACCACACAGCATAATCTAAATGAGTCCTTATCCAGGTTGCATTAATGACTGGAATGCCTACACAGTTTATTTTGGACTCCATTTTTAAATGAAATTTGTTGAATTTTGTGTAAAATTGACCAAATTAGTGACTCCTGGCATACTAGTGAAACAGCCAGGAATTAGCCTAAAAACACTTCAAATTACGCATAATCACAGTTGTATACATTGTTCCCTTACCTTCAGTTTTGTGCCTGTGTAATTCCATAAGTTTTACATCAAATTTAGCATTTTTGGTGTCATTATGCTTAGAAAAGAGATTATTTGTTAAATTGCAACACTGACCGGACTTCTAATTTTGGGGGTCATGACAGTGAAAAAGTTAACAAAATGATGTAGTGCAGTGACAGTATAAGAGCAAGAACAAACTTAACCTTAGGCAGCACATGATATCTGTGAAAGTCACGAGGCTTACCTGAGGTGGAGCAACTGCAGGTGGTGTACGATACTCGCGTGAACCACGAGAGAGGCTGCTGACCGATCTGTTAGCCTGGGGAGGAGTGGGAGGCTTAGTGGTTGGAGCTGGTCCAGCTGAGGTGGGTGGTTGCTGGTGGGCAGGTGGTGGAGGCATTCCAACACTGCTGGTGGACCGCCGTGACCGAGGAGTACTGCTCGACGATGAACGTATCCCATGACCGACATCATCCAAACCTGCAGAAACATTTAATGTTTATTGTATGTCACTTTATGTTAAAATTAAAATGAAGAGCCTTAATCAAATTGTATTATCACCAATAATACAGTCCATCAGACATTTCCCAGCGAGGAAGAGTAAGCCAAAGAAGAACACACATTCACCAGGTCATTCCACTGTGATGAAGATCATACCACGACTCATGGTTTTGATATGTTACTTATTATAACTTTAACCACATGAAAGTTATAAAAGATGCTTTTCTGTCTCTTATAAAGAAATACTTACTGAAGGTAATTATCACAATCAGATTAAAGAATATTAGAAGTATAGTTTACACAGATTTTTAGTGTGTGTCACAGTTCATTAATATAATGGATGACATCCTCTCACTTGCTGATACATTAACTCAAAATTATGTGAACAGCGGAAAGTTATTTCAAAGGTAAGAGAAACAGCTATGAAACAGTATTATAGTTTTTAGTCTATAACCTATTTTATAATAAAACATTAAATAATATTATTACTTAATACTGTTTGTCTTCTATTTACTTTCTTTCTTTCAACACACCGGCCATATCCCACCGAGGCGGGGTGGCTCAATAGGAAAAACGAAAGTTTCTCCTTTTACATTTAGTAATATATACTAGTAATATATACTAATATATACTAGTAATATATACTAGGTTACTAGCCCCGTGCTCCAGGCATTTTAGTCGCTTCTTACAACACGCACGGCTTACGGAGGAAGAATTCTGTTCCACTTCCCCATGGAGATAAGAGGAAATAAACATGAACAAGAACTAGAAAAAAAATAGAAGAAACCCCAGAGGGTTGTGTATAAATATGCTTGTACATGTATGTGTAGTGTGACCTAAGTGTAAGTAGAAGTAGCAAGACATACCTGAAACCTTGCATGTTTATGAGACAGACAAAAGACACCAGCAATCCTACCATCATGTAAAACAATTACAGGCTTTCGTTTTACACTCACTTGGCAGGACGGTAGTACCTCCCTGGGTGGTTGCTGTCTACCAACCTACTACCTAGGTCTTCTATTTACATTTAGTAATTTATACAAGAGATGGTGTTACTGGCCCCTTGCTCCCAGCATTTTAGTTGCCTCTTACAACACACATGGCATACACAGGAAGGATTCTTCTTCACTTCCCCATGGAGATGAAAGGGATAATACAAGAACAAGAAGTATTAAAAACTAAATAAAACTCATACAGGTAGTGCGGATGACAAGAAACAGATGATTGCTGATGTTATGAATGAAAAGAAGTTGGATGTCCTGGCCCTAAGCGAAACAAAGCTGAAGGGGGTAGGAGAGTTTCAGTGGGGGGAAATAAATGGGATTAAATCTGGAGTATCTGAGAGAGTTAGAGCAAAGGAAGGGGTAGCAGTAATGTTAAATGATCAGTTATGGAAGGAGAAAAGAGAATATGAATGTGTAAATTCAAGAATTATGTGGATTAAAGTAAAGGTTGGATGCGAGAAGTGGGTCATAATAAGCGTGTATGCACCTGGAGAAGAGAGGAATGCAGAGGAGAGAGAGAGATTTGGGAGATGTTAAGTGAATGTATAGGAGCCTTTGAACCAAGTGAGAGAGTAATTGTGGTAGGGGACTTGAATGCTAAAGTAGGAGAAACTTTTAGAGGGGGTTTGTGGTAGGTAAGTTTGGGGTGCCAGGTGTAAATGATAATGGAGCCCTTTGATTGAACTTTGTATAGAAAGGGGTTTAGTTATAGTAATACATATTTTAAGAAAAAGAGGATAAATAAGTATAACGATATGATGTAGGGCGAAATGACAGTAGTTTGTTGGATTATGTATTGGTAGATAAAAGACTGTTGAGTAGACTTCAGGATGTACATGTTTTTAGAGGGGCCACAGATATATCAGATCACTTTCTAGTTGTAGCTACACTGAGAGTAAAAGGTAGATGGGATACAAGGAGAATAGAAGCATCAGGGAAGAGAGAGTGAAGGTTTATAAACTAAAAGAGGAGGCAGTTAGGGTAAGATATAAACAGCTATTGGAGGATAGATGGGCTAATGAGAGCATAGGCAATGGGGTCGAAGAGGTATGGGTAGTTTAAAAATGTAGTGTTAGAGTGTTCAGCAGAAGTTTGTGGTTACAGGAAAGTGGGTGCAGGAGGGAAAGGAGCGATTGGTGGGAAAGATGATGTAAAGAGAGTAGTAAGGGAGAAAAAGTTAGCATATGAGAAGTTTTTACAAAGTAGAAGTGATGCAAGGAGGGAAGAGTATATGGAGAAAAAGAGAGAAGTTAAGAGAGTGGTGAAGCAATGTAAAAAGAGAGCAAATGAGAGAGTGGGTGAGATGTTATCAACAAATTTTGTTGAAAATAAGAAAAAGTTTTGAGTGAGATTAACAAGTTAAGAAAGCCTAGAGAACAAATGGATTTGTCAGTTAAAAATAGGAGAGGAGAGTTATTAAATGGAGAGGTAGAGGTATTGGAAGATGGAAGGAATATTTTGAGGAATTGTTAAATGTTGATGAAGATAGGGAAGCTGTGATTTCGTGTATAGGGCAAGGAGGAATAACATCTTGTAGGAGTGAGGAAGCCAGTTGTGAGTGTGGGGGAAGTTCGTGAGGCAGTAGGTAAAATGAAAGGGGGTAAGGCAGCCGGGATTGATGGGATAAAGATAGAAATGTTAAAAGCAGGTGGGGATATAGTTTTGGAGTGGTTGGTGCAATTATTTAATAAATGTATGGAAGAGGTAAGGTACCTAGGGATTGGCAGAGAGCATGCATAGTTTCCTTTGTATAAAGGCAAAGGGGATAAAAGAGAGTGCAAAAATTATAGGGGGATAAGTCTGTTGAGTGTACCTGGTAAAGTGTATGGTAGAGTATAATTGAAAGAATTAAGAGTAAGACGGAGAATAGGATAGCAGATGAACAAGGAGGCTTTAGGAAAGGTAGGGGGTGTGTGGACCAGGTGTTTACAGTGAAACATATAAGTGAACAGTATTTAGATAAGGCTAAAGAAGGTCTTTGTGGCATTTATGGATTTGGAAAAGGCGTATGACAGGGTGGATAGGGGGCAATGTGGCAGATGTTGCAAGTGTATGGTGTAGGAGGTAGGTTACTGAAAGCAGTGAAGAGTTTTTACGAGGATAGTGAGGCTCAAGTTAGAGTATGTAGGAAAGAGGGAAATTTTTTCCCATAAAAGTAGGCCTTAGACAAGGATGTGTGATGTCACCGTGGTTGTTTAATATATTTATAGATGGGGTTGTAAGAGAAGTAAATGCGAGGGTCTTGGCAAGAGGCGTGGAGTTAAAAGATAAAGAATCACACACAAAGTGGGAGTTGTCACAGCTGCTCTTTGCCGATGACACTGTGCTCTTGGGAGATTCTGAAGAGAAGTTGCAGAGATTGGTGGATGAATTTGGTAGGGTGTGCAAAAGAAGAAAAATTTAAAAGGGGAATACAGGAAAGAGTAAGGTTATGAGGATAACAAAAAGATTAGGTATGAAAGATTGAATATCAGATTGGAGGGGAGAGTATGGAGGAGGTGAACGTATTCAGATATTTGGGAGTGGACGTGTCAGCGGATGGGTCTATGAAAGATGAGGGGAATCATAGAATTGATGAGGGAAAAAGAGTGAGTGGTGCACTTAGGAGTCTGTGGAGACAAAGAACTTTGTCCTTGGAGGCAAGAGGGGAATGTAATGAGAGTATAGTTTTACCAACGCTCTTATATGGGTGTGAAGCGTGGGTGGATGAATGTAGCAGCGAGGAGAAGGCTGGAGGCAGTGGAGATGTCATGTCTGAGGGCAATGTGTGGTGTGAATATAATGCAGAGAATTCGTAGTTTGGAAGTTAGGAGGAGGTGCGGGATTACCAAAACTGTTGTCCAGAGGGCTGAGGAAGGGTTTTGAGGTGGTTCGGACATGTAGAGAGAATGGAGCGAAACAGAAATGACTTCAAGAGTGTATCAGTCTGTAGTGGAAGGAAGGCGGGGTAGGGGTCGGCCTAGGAAGGGTTGGAGGGAGGGGGTAAAGAGTTTTGTGTGCGAGGGCTTGGACTTCCAGCAGGCATGCGTGAGCGTGTTTGATAGGAGTGAATGGAGACAAATGGTTTTTAATACTTGACGTGCTGTTGGAGTGTGAGCAAAGTAACATTTATGAAGGGATTCAGGGAAACCGGCAGGCCGGACTTGAGTCCTGGAGATGGGAAGTACAGTGCCTGCACTCTGAAGGAGGGGTGTTAATGTTGCAGTTTAAAAACTGTAGTGTAAAGCACCCTTCTGGCAAGACAGTGATGGAGTGAATGATGGTGAAAGTTTTTCTTTTTCGGGCCACCCTGCCTTGGTGGGAATCGGCCGGTGTGATAATAAAAAAAAAAAACAGGTACATCTTATCATTCATACAGGTACATCTTATCATTCATACAGGTACATCTTATCATTCATACAGGTACATCTTATCATTCATACAGGTACATCTTATCATTCATACAGGTACATCTTATCATTCATACAGGTATGACTTATCGTTCATACAGGTACATCTTATCATTCATAAAGGTACATCTTATCATTCATACAGGTACATCTTATCATTCATAAAGGTACATCTTATCATTCATACAGGTACATCTTAAACCATACCCCCGGCCGGGATTGAACCCGCGGTCATTACGATTTCTTGAGTCATGTTGACGGCAGTGAAGGGACTTGAGCTAGAGTTCGTCACGGCCACGCTAGCTGGAGATTCGTCTGTAAAAACTTGCATTTGTGGTCACAGAGGTGCCTGTGCTAACTTTCCTATGGTGTAGAAATATACCTAGTTGGATGAATCTTATTGTGGCTAGCTGGTCTAGTGGCTAGCGCGACGGGCTGGAGTTTTGAGACTCTATGACCGCGGGTTCAATCCCGGCCGGGGGTATGGTTTATTTGCAATCGTGTCATTACGATTTCTTGAGTCAGGTACATCTTATCATTCATACAGGTACATCTTATCATTCATAAAGGTACATCTTATCATTCA